AACACATGTACAAAGGATAGACTACCAAGGGCCACCCTCTTCTCTAGGTACAGAAACTTGCCTGCAAATGAAACAGAACTGCAAGATAGAGACAGAACCAGCATCTTGTTATCATTTAAGCATCTGGCTCACGCCATGCCTGATATTCAACCCCTCTGAGATTTCAATTATATGAGCTAATCAACTGTCTTTAAAAGCTTAACCTAGGTTAAATTTAGTGTCTGTCACAAGTAACTAGAAGAACCTTGCCCAATTTATGGAAAAGTTGTATTTGAGAAGAGGAGGCCTTGCCCCGTGCTCCTCAAGCTGGCCCCAACATGTAGCTGCCATTAGACAGTGCCCCCACCACCACCATCTCTATATAGTTCCCTCTTACCTGGAAATAGTTCAAAAGTATGCCAGCCCCAGACAGTCCCAGGCCTGCAAACGTGAAGGGCACTATCACCTGAAGGCCAATGGACAAGGCGGTCTCCCTGCTGAGCTCAGGCCCCAGTGGTTTAGGGGACACTCTTTGGCTCTCAGGGACACCCAGAGATCCATCTTCTGAGGCTCTAGGGAGTCTTTCTGTGCTGAGGGTGTATGGCAACCCTAGCTCCTCTGGCCTCCGCTGTCGGGTCTCTGTCCCATCCATGTGAGCTGAGCCCCTGGCAGCCTTAACCTAGAAGACACAAAACAACAGGGGTTGTAGGCAGAGTTCCTGACCCTCAATGGTGCTGACACCCTGTAAGTCTTCAAGCCCTTCTGTCCACCAGAGGCTGGCATCATTCCAGCCAATCCACAGCCTTTTACTTGGTGCTTGCTCCATATGGCTTCCTGCAACCCCAATTTACAAAAACTTTTACTTAATATGTTTGAGGAAAACAAACTTATACAGAAGAAAGCATTAAAATATATGAATTGGAACCAGCAGAATTGGTGATATGAGGACCTGTGAAAATTCTCTCCTTCATAAAAGCAACAGGAAAGTGGCAAAAATTGTCAGAATCAGCTTTTTCTGAACTCTGGAAATTAATCAAAGGTTTACAGCAAAACAAGATATATTTATCCAACAGAAAATGCTGAATCTCAGCAAGAACAGCAACACTGTAATGTCCAGAATGTTTCACTTGCCCTTAGTTCTATCCCCTGCTTTCCGACTCTGCAGCAGCCTTAAAAACCAACAGCCTGGAGAGAACAGAGTGGACAAGAACTCTTTCAAAGCCTCATTCCCAAAGAATTGCCATTATCTGGCCAATCAGGTGGTTCACTGGAAAGATGCCACTTGCAGACTGTCTGTATTTACCTTGACCTGTAGTTCACTTGGTATAAAAAGGCTTCTCCCTGGGGGACATTTGTTGAAAACAATTACAGGTACTTTGTGGCTGCCTGAGGCAGTGGACAATAGTTGGGGTAAATAATACACTAACTAAAAACCTAAAAGAAAAAGCTAGGGAATGAAATGCTTAGGCAGGTTTTACAAAGTTCCTACACATTTCTGGGCATCTAGAAGGCCACCCGCATTGAGCGGGGCATACGCTTAGAAAATACCTGAGAAAGCCCTAAGCTCTCACCACTGGCTGATTCGGAGTCTCTGCACAAGCAGAAAGTGAAAGCTAAGGCAGAGTTGTAACAACCTGACTGAATGTTAAAGGTGTGCCTGCCCCAACACGCACACAGAGCCCCTTGGCAAAGATTGGAAGACTTACTGGTTCCAGGCATGGCGTTCAGGAAATCTGAAACCAATCATTATCTGACCACTAAGCAGAGACTTCAGTGAAAACAAAGAATATAGACTAAAGAATTTGTTCAGGAAAGTCACTAAACAAACTAGAACAAACAGCAATAACAAGAAACCCTAAGAGGGGAAAATCTGATTTTCAGAGTTGTCACATTATACAATTTTAAATGTCCAGTTTTTAATAGAAAAAAAAAATAAGACATGCAAAGAAACATGAAAGCATGACCCATACACAGGGGGAAAAAGCAATTAATAAAAATTATCCATGAGGAAGCACAGACATTGGATAACTAGACAAAAACTTTAAGTCAGTTATTTTAAATGTGTAAATAACTTAAGGAACCATGTCTAAAGAACTAGAGAAAAGTGTGAAAATAAAGTCTAACCAAGTAGAGAATATCAATAAAAAAATAAAAATTATTTTTAAAAGAACCAATAGAAATTCTGAAGTTGTAAAATATAATAGCTGAAATGTAAAATTCCCTAGAGGAGCCCAAGAGCTGCTCTGAGAAGGGAGAATAAAGAATCACTGAGCTGAAAGATATTATCCATTTTAAAGAAAAATGAACAAAACCTCAGAAACCTATAGAACATCATCAAACATACCAACATACACATATCAGGAGTCTCAGAAAGGGAAGAGAGAGTAATGGGGTTCAAAAGAATATCTGAAAACATCATGAGCAAAAGCTTTTCAAATTTGATTAGAAAAATTTCGATATTCAAGCTCAACAAATTTCAAGTAGGATAAATATAAAGAGATTGACACCAAGATACACCATTATCAAACTGTCAAAAGTCAAAGACAAAGAGAAAATCTTGAAAGCAGGGGGAAGCAACTCATATACAAGGGATCCTCAATAAGATTAAC